AGATCTGTTCTAAAATAGATTTAGTAATTGGCTGGTAGACAGTTTTGGCTTATAACATACTTATCAAGTTTCCTTGAGAATTTAATAAAACAGTGCCTTTCTAATACCAATACCATTCCTGAAATGGAATACAGGGAACAACTGTCTTATAAAAATGAGTCTTTATCTTTCTTGATGCTAGTCATCTCCCTTTATTTCTGCATTTTTTAAGGGTAATAACTCACTGCTGTCATATCACTCAAAATCAACAACTGGGAATATTCTCATGGCAAGATCAATAATTAAGCCTCAGGGAAAATGTCTTGCTTCTGAGGTCTCTTTGACTTATACCTTGGTAACTGCTGTTAGATTCCAAACAGATGGATGAGGAGGAAGGCTTAGGTCAGATCAGCATGGAGCAGGCTTCATAAAAATACAAGCCCATCTTTTGTATGTTTGTGTGTGCACACAGGTGACATGTACAGCCATGATGGAAATGCTGATGAGCCAGAATGGGTAAAGACAGAGAGAGAACAGTTTGTTGAGTTCCGAGATAAGAACCGTGATGGGAAGATGGACAAGGAAGAGACCAAAGACTGGATCCTCCCCTCAGACTATGATCATGCAGAGGCAGAAGCCAGGCACCTAGTGTATGAATCAGACCAAAACAAGGTGAGTGTTCCTTTTAAGGTACATAGAGCATTTAAAGTCTTAATTAGCCTAAGTCTACTGTGGGTCTAAAGTTGGCAAATGAAAACACAGGGCAGCACTAGCTATCTGATCTCATTTTAGAAATCCCTTTGCTTGGTGTTCACAACATTTGGGGAATGAGGCTTTGGGAAAGAACCTCTGTATCGTCTGTGCCCAGCATGCTTCATCTGTTATCTTTGGATCCCCAGGAAACTTTCTTGCTTTTTTTTCTTTGTTATTTCCTTTCTTCTTTTACCTACCACAGGCTCATTTTGCCTACTCAAAGCTTGTTATTTCCTTGTTAAATCAAATATACTTTTTAAAACTAAGTTCTTTGTAGTAGGTTATAAATCAGCTTATCTCTGGAACCTGTTAAAATTGTCTTTGATCAATTGTCTGAGGCACTTGTCATTAAAAGAGTGGTGTCATCACTTGGCTCTGCCAAACTTTTTATTAGAGATTTGAATGCTCTGCTTAGAGTAAACTGGAAGTCAGTCTGAAGATGGGGGTTTTAGTATTCTGAACATTCTCTTATCTAAGCTAATCTTCAGTTTCAAGTGCAGTTTCTTATCACCACACCTTTTGAAGGGTCCATCTGAGTTCTTGCTCAGTTGTTTCAGTAGCCAGGTGCTGTATCCTGAGGTATGTGAAAAAAGGAAACTCATGTAGTCATCCCTTGGGAATCTGGCCTAGATAATTTTTGAGATGAGTGAGCCTTCGTTTGGGGTTGTGTCTGGAATCTGTGGCTAGGGCATAGTGGAGGTGAGGACTGTGCTTTATTTTTGCAGGTTTTGTTGTTCCTGGTAGATAGAGACTTGATTCACTTGGAAGTATTTTACCCAGTTCTTCCTGACTACCTCTTCCTCATATCTAGATGTCCCACATTTTGCTCAAAAGTGAGCATTCTCTCCTCAAGAAACAAACTCCTATCTCTGGCATTGAGGGACTTAGAATCCCTGTTATTGTATGTGTTTCTGAATTTGGAATGGGAAATATGTTGCCTCAATTCATTTTCTCTCTGATTTCAGGATGGCAAGCTTACCAAGGAAGAGATTGTTGACAAGTATGATTTATTTGTGGGCAGCCAGGCCACAGATTTTGGTGAGGCCTTAGTACGACATGATGAGTTCTGAGGAGGAACCCATGTTTCTTCAAAAAGTAATTTATTTTTACAGCTTCTTGTTTCACATGAAATTGTTTGCGCTACTGAGACTGTTGTTACAAACTTTTTAAGACATGAAAAGGTGTAATGAAAACCATCCTGTTCCTATTCCTCCTCCTCTCTGGGAGGCATGGAGGGAAACTGTGCTTCTGAGGAACAACTCTAATTAGTACACTTATGTTTGTAGATTTATACTTTATACTTTGTATTATGTATCACATGGTGTGTTTATTTTTGTATTTGTTCTCTGGTTGGGAGCAAGATATGAAGGATCAAGATCCTCAGCTCACACCTGTAGGCAACCTTTAGTCCTTCACTCTTTCTCAACCCTTACCATACAATTTTTATAATTCCAACTTAACTCATTTTTTAAGCCTGAGATCAATAAGTGTTCAGGAGAGAGAGAAGGGAAGAAATATCCCCCACAATTTATATTTAGAGAGAAAACACAAGCTTGCCTATTGAAAAGTATATTTCATAAGTAGTAGGGGGCCACAGATTCCATTCAGCTGCTACTGCCCATCAACTGATCCTGCCACTGTCTGGGCAAGGACAGACCCCTGTGCTGTAAGAAAGCTTGGCTCAACTTGATTTCATTCATTCATTTTGTGTTCTTCCCCTGAAGGACTAGCTGTTTGCTCATTTTGTCAAGCACAGTTTTTGGGGGGAAGAGTTAGGGCCAGTGTCTTGAAAATCAATCAAGTAGTAAGTGTGATCTCTTTACAGAGCTATACATAGAGAAAGCTGGAAAACTAAAGGAAAAATAAGTGTTTTCAGGGCACAGACTTCTGGGTGTGCATCTGTTGAAGCACTCAAGACTGTCTTGCCTATTGAATCACTGCAAGTGCCCCATTTGGCTTGTGTTTCCTCAGGTGTTCTGAGGAAATAATCTTGCTTTCACTGCAGTTAAAATGAACTCCTTTCTGATCATGTCATTGAAAGTGCCTTTAATGAGAGAAAGATCATTGAGTGAGGGTACTTTTAAGAAACCCTAAGATGAAATAAGATTATTTGGACCATTTTATGTGAAAACTTAGACCCTCCCAATGTAGTGGGGATTTTTTTCTTCTTCCTTTTCTCTTTCAGACAGTGGTTAAATAGCAGTATTAGTTAGGAGCTTGGTTGCAGTGTTCTTATCTTGTGGGCTGGTTTCTAAAAACCACATGCTGCTGACTTTACCAGGGATCCTCATACCTCAGATTGCTAACCACTTACTACCAAGACTGTTTCTGTGTCAGCTGGGAGCTTGAGCTCAGACTCAGAAATGAGAGGCCTACAAAGGAGCTTTTTGGTTTGAGGACCATCACTCACCCTTCCTGCCTTTGTCCCATCACTCCCTATCTCCCCTTCTCCCCCTCTCCCCACTGCCAAAGACAATGTTCTTCATGGATCAACAGATTGCCAATACTTATCAAAGAGAGGGACATTGTAGAAAGAACTGAGGAAACCACCTTCTGTTCCCAACTCACTTTACCCATATTTTATGTAACACAAACTGTCTTTTTTGGTCCCTTTCTTACAGCTGGACCTCTTTTGAGAAGAATTACTGTATTCCAAGTTCTTAGCCCTCAGGTTACTAAGTTACATACATTTATATCTAACCTTTATTATTTCATGTATCTTTCTGGATAATACATTCAGGTGGTGCTGGGTGATTTTTATAATCTGAACCTAGGTGTATCCTTTGGTCTTCCACGATTGTGTTGAGGTGGGCTACTTGACCTGGTAAAAAGCCAGACACCATGTAACTTCATCCCAGCCTTTGCATTGAGCTCTTGAAGTTGAACCCTAGTATAGGGGAATGGAGATTCTCTGCCATCGAGATTCCCTATTTTATTAAGAAGACCAGAGATTATTAATGCCACCAACTCTGGCTTAGAGAGGGCACATGAGCGCTTACTAAGTGCAGAGAACCCAGACTTTATGGTAGAGTTATGCACTTAGAAAGCAAACCTTCATGTGCTAAGTGAGCAGCTTGTGGTTGCTGGGTGCTTGGCAGCAAGCATTGTACTCTACTCTCTAATGACACCCCGAGTTATCTTTTGGTTTAATCAGGCCTGAGGCTGGTGAACAGTAGCTCCCCACCCACGTTGTGTGTTCTGTGAATGCTAGCTCTCTTGAATTTGGATACTGGTTATTTTTTATAGAGTGTAAACCAAGTTTTATATTCTATAATGCAAACAGGTACCTATCTGTTTCTAAATAAAACTGTTTACATTCGTTGTGGGGTATGTGTGTCCTTTATTCTCTTAAGAAGTGGAACTCTTGGAATATATATGCTCTAAAATGTCACAGAAAAGGAGCTCTTTTAGGAGGTTTACCATACCTCTTCCCCAACTTAGGAAGTTCCTGCCTTTTCCCATGTTGGTTATTCCTTCTTCCTGTTTCTGAAATCTTCTAGAGTCCTTTTCACTACAGCTGTGACCCTTCTCTGCTTCCCTTAGGCCATGTAACTGGAGAGGAGTCCAGCTGCCCAGTATGTAATTACCTGATAGCAAGCACAAGACATTCGTGAATGTACACACAGTGTTTCTCTTGATTTTTATTTCAAAAAGGCTCTATTTGGTGGAGCGGGTATAAAATAGAAGGTAAACTTTTTTTTTTAACATTTTGGTATAGTTTATATAAACAGTATTAAGATGTGCAAATTCACTTTGAGAACATCAAGCTGTTGTCTTTAGTAAACACACAGCTTAAAGCAGATACATAGGTTTAGCCAAATTGGAAGTGGGGGCACCTGGGGTACTTCATGTTTGGCCTGCCAAAGCTACAGTGATTATTGGCGGTGGTAGCATGAAGTGACTTCAAACTCACATTGGTGTCTACGGAAGGTTCTGTTTTTTCTTTATGTCTGCCATTTCTAAGATTTTGAAGTTTGTTTTAGTTCAGAATGTATCATCTCAGAACAACCCCCAGTAGGAAAAGAATGTTACTAAGAAGGAAAATAATTGTTATCCATACACTGAAAAGTCAGCTCTCCTCCTTTATAGTTGCCTTGTATGTAGAAGTCAGTTCTCCAGGTGCTGTGAACAGTCCTACTTAAGAGTAGAAGCTGATGATGTTGGCGTAGCCTGTGGGGTGGTCTGAAGTAGACCCAGCTGGAACAGTAGCTTTATAGGTAGGAAAGGAAGAGTAGGAGAACTGGCTCCCCAAATTGCTGTCACTACCTTTCCCATCTTTTTTCTGTGCTTGTTAGTTTGGTTTTTGACAGGGAAAGTAGAAATTTCCTTAAATGTGAAATCCTAGTTGCTGCAAATAGATGAATTTGGCCAAGTTGGGGCCAACTTGGCTAGAGGAGAGAGTAGAAACTTTTGTGTTCTGGAGGCTGGGCACGTCAGGCTCCTCTGTCATGGATTTCCTATACCATCCTCATGATGCAAGCGTGGAACTAGAAGGAAAGGGCAGAATTGGAGATAGCCCCCTTGCAGACCACTACAGAAGGAATAATACTGGGAAACGGGGGAGAAAAGATCTGGCTTTGTGTCCCCGGAGCCTCACACAAGTCTCCTCAGGTGACTTTGAATATACCTTCCCAAAGCTGAGAGCTAGCTAGATTCCAGTCTAGGACTACTTACCACTCCTGGGTCTCTAGTAATAATCCGTACACATCCTGACTCAGAGGCCTTACCGCTGGGAACCCTCACAACCGGCCTGCCTACTGAGAGCACTGTCACAAGTGGCTCTGCAGTAGGCCCTACCCCCAAACCCCAACGCCCCCCCTTACTAAAAGGTGTTCCCAATGGGAAAGGACTGCCACTTCTGCTTGCTTCCATCCAGGTTTCACATTAGTCTTGTATCCTTTGGGATTGAGGAAACGAAGTAACTATTAATAACTCTCAAAGAAGGCTGTTTGTGCTGTAAGACAAGAACTTTCCTAGATTTATCTCAGTTTGGGTTTTATTAGCTCAGATACAGGATTTGGGCCAGGAGGCCCCCCAGTACCTTCAGATGATAAGCTGTTGCAGAGATTTATGCATGTGTCATGATGTCTGTGCTTTGAATATGCTCTTGCAGGTTAGCAGTTGGAAGGGAAAGGATAAAAAACTTGTGAAATGGAAGAACTAGAAATTTAGGGGGACTATTGATCAGTCAGTTTTCAGCAAAACAGAAACCCTTTGCTTGTCATGCTGTCTTCTGGAGCAGTTGGAACGTGATACAAGTTGTGTCTTCCTGGGTTCTGTTATCCTGATTGCATGACCATACCTTCCTCCCTGTGCTTATAAGGGCTTCCCTTCCAGTAAGAGCTTCTCTGACCTCCCTTGTTTACCCTTAGAAACCCTATGAGTATGAGTCCAGGGTGCTTCAGGTTAAAAGTCATTGGTGAGAAAAGAGCCAGGTCTTGTGAAGTAGAGTCTCAGAGGAATGTAGAGGGCTTTACCTGCTTATTCATGAAGCAGTGGATGATGGGATTGTGGACACAAGCACTCTCAGAGAAGAAGGAAAGGAGTAGTGACAAACCATCGGTCAGCCCATATACACAGGGCAGCACAGGCACGTTACAGACAGACCCCGCCATCACCACCACCATGCGGCTCACGTCCCGCTCCACCTGGGTTGAGACTGCCTCCTGCTGAGCTGGCCGCCTCAGCAGAGCCCAGAGAAGAATCGTGTCCTCTTCTCCTGGATCTCAGCTCCCGATCTCGCCCCCTTTCTACCAAGGGAGCATCTGCTCCAGTTGCCTCTCCTGCCCCAGCTTCTGGCCGAGTCCCTCTGGCTCGCCTTCCTTGAGGAACGCAGGGTGGGGTGGCTTTCTGGTCTGGCATTGGAAAGGATCCTATGGCATCTCTTGAAATGTTTGAGCAGGAATGATGCCACCTTGCTCTTTGATACCATTTCATCATTCTCCTGGACCCCCTCCTTCCCGACCCTTACAAAAGCCACTCATGACTCTGAAGGCCCCCAGCAGATGGGGGAGAGTGGCACAATGAAGCAGAAGATGAAGAGGAACCTGACGTAGTACTCACTGTGGTATTTGGTGCCCACGCTGTACCAATCCAGGCCATAGGAACACTAACGACCTTCGGGGATTAGCCTGCAGGAGGATGCCCGGTGACTTCAGGCAGTGGGGTTTCTGCCCTCACCCTCCAAGGCTATAGCAATTCCAACTGCAAAGTAAACATGAGCACTTGTCTCCCACAGCCCTTGGCCTCAGCCACTCTACCTGCTCTTTAGAAAGTAGAGGTCGACTAAAAGGTTACACCCAACTCTTTCCACCCATGCCAGCCTGAGCTCCTGGCCAAGTCAGCACCCCTGCCCTGCACTCTCACTCGCTCCAGCCAAAGAGGGGTGGGATGGAGATGCCAATACCAGTGATCCAGGTGGCCATGACTACCATCAGTGCATGCCTGGAGCTGAAGCAGAAGTCGCCAAGGGAATTAGAGATGACAATGTAGCACCACTCAAAGGCCAGAAGACCAGTGACCAGCCTGTCACCAGACCTGTAGGGAAACCTGAGGGTGGTGGATAGGCAGCCCTGCCCAGTCTGGCAGGTGGAGTGGAACAGATGGGTGGAGCCTGCACAGGGAGATGGGGAGACAGGGTTGGGGGAGGGTTTGGGTTGACAGTTGAAGCAGTTTGGTACTCATTGGTTAAATCTGGTCTGCTCTCCAATAAAAAAAAGAACACCAAACTCCTTTCCCCCAAACTCCTTTCTAAGAGCCTGCCCTAACCCAACAGCCTGGTCCCTGGTTCCAAGCCTTTGCCTCCCCCAAGTCCCCTTCCCCTGCAGTACCTGCCGCAGAGTCCAGGAAGGCCTCCAGAGCACAAACATGGCAGCCAAAGAGCACATAGCCCTGACAGCTGGCAATGAACAGGGTGAAGACAGAGGAGAAGCCAAAGAGCAAGCACCCCAGGGACATGTTGCCCAGAATATAGTCAAGCAGCTGCCACAACTTTTTGTAGCATAGTGTGGCCACCAGCACTGGGTATCAACTGGTGTCCCTACAAAGAAGACAAAGCCCATGAAGGCTGCCTGGAGGGAGGTGGAAGGCCCAGACAGGGACTTTGTGGTACTAATGTCCACCCCACAGCCCCACCAAGGAGATGTTCTTGAACAGATAAAATGCCTCCTCCCCTGACATCTTGTTCATGGACTGTTGCCACCCTTTCTGATTCCTCTTATAGAGCATCCCCTCACCACTGCTTCTCCCTGACCCTGCCAGAGAATGCTTCTTCCAAAGCCACTTTGAGCTCCCTGAATGAGCAGTACTGATCCTAAGCCTCCGAAGGACAAAGTGGGATTAGAGATGCCCAAGCCCCCACCTAAACCTACTTTCGTGTTCCCAAAGCCAATTGTGTGTTCCTCAGAGGATTAAAAAAATGGGCTCAAAGAATCCAGACATGCAAAGCTGAGGGCTGGAATGAGTAGGAGCCCTCTTACCAGGGCCTGGAAGTGCTGACCAATTTTAATAAAGATGCTAACACCACCTTTTTTTTTTTTTTGGTCTACAAATGGAGCTATTGATGGTACCCTACTCTTGGTTTCTGGCATCACTCTATCCCTAGAGGTTTCTGCACCCCATCTGCTGCTTTGTGAAAGGTGCCCCCTAAGTCTCCCTCTCCAGTGATCTTGGGCCCACAGTCAGCCTGGGAACCAGCCTCAGGCTGCTGGAAGGGGCAGCTCCCCTAATGGGGAGAGCCCTGGCTGCTCCTTAGTGAACAGCCTTCAGGAACAGTACAGGGCAACATGCTTGGAGGTCTAAGGCATCCCAGGCTGCCTCTGTCTCTTCATGCCGAGTCTACCCAGAGTACACCTTCCTCCTCAGACCTCCTCCAGCCAGAATGAGGTTGGTTTGTGCACAGTCCCTCTCACACCACGTTCATGCCTGTCCCTGCCCTTAACTCAGCGATGCCCAAGTTACCAAAGTCTTCCTCCTGTCCCCCCATCCACATCCTGCCCAGCTCTCCCAGCCCACCTCACCAACACCTCTTCTGTGAAGCCCACCCCAGTGAGGCCAGCGGTGCTCTAAGCTCTGCCTGTGCTTACACTCAGCCCTACACATCAGCCCTTCTGTACCTTCTCCACTTCAGTAAACTATGAATATATAGATGGAAGGGGTACACGTTAACTATAGATAAGTTAAAAGTGAAGAACAGATGGCCCAATAAAGGCAGAGTTATTCATATTGCATGAATCTCCCCCAGAGGCAAAAATTATAAACTGGACAAAATATGAAAACAACTGAAAAGCATTATAAAGTACCCCAAAGCAGGCAGAAACGGAAAGGACTCAACTCTTGAGTGAAAGGAACCACCTATATTTAAAGGATTATTTCCTGAGGGCACTTCCCAGTCTAAATAGCAAGGGACAGTTGGAATTCAAGCAGCAAGCCCTGGCCTTTATGGGCTAGAAGGGTCAGAGAACAGAGTCTGAAACACCAGCAACTGAAAACTTAAGGTGGTTTTCCTGGAATGAAGGAAGCCACAGAAGGGGAAGCCTTCAAATCTGCATATAAACCCCTCAAATCCTAGGCTAACTGCTGAGCTATGTATGGAGGAATCTTCAAGAAGTACAGCAAAAGGCAAGAGCTGGAGATCTGAAAGCCGAGCAGAGATTTGGGCTGCTACCCACTGCAACAGATAGTTTGAGTTTGATTCCCACCAAGTTAGAGGAGCCAGGCAAATACATCAGGACTAAAATCTATGTTCCTTGAATCCTGAGCTAGAAAGGCTAGATGGAGACTGACATCATGCCCACGGGTGCGCGCTCATGCTCACATACACACACACTGCACACAGATACCCACCCACCATAGAATTCCTGGCAGATTCCTGACGAGATCCAACTTAGAGTCCAGGAACTGCAAGGCCATTTGGTCTCCACTAGATTGCCTGAGGCATTTCCCTCTTGCCATGAGCAGGCACCTAGGAACAGGACCAGAGGCTGCCCTGAGGGCAGTGTTTAAAGTGCCCATCCTCCTGCGGGCATGTGGCCATGCGTTAACCTGGGAGGAGTGGAGTGAGCCAGCCTCAGTGTCCACAGGGCTCTGCTGAGATGCCCACCTCTGCAAGTGGTTCTCACAAGAGCCTGCCAATAGCAGCTCCTGGGCTTGGTCTGCTTGGGCATGCCTAACCGAGGTGGTAAAAGATACTCCCAGCCCTCTTACACTACCCAAGCCAGGTGGCCCCATCCTCGGCTCCTCCTAAGTCTGTCCTGACACCTTCTCAGACAGTCCTTCCCACACTATTCTACCCCACGTGTGACTGAGAGGCAGTGGGCCCTAGCTGGGGGCAACCCAATCCAGCTAAGATGGGGCAGATGCTCCCTGGGGGGGCCTCAAGCAAAAAGAGCCTTATGCAAGCATAGAGTCTTACTGGCACCTAAGCAAGGGATAAATCACTTGGAGTCACGGAAGCCATGGGGTAGCGGGTAGGGAGATTTTGAGGAGAGGAGATGGGGTAAAGGAGGACGGTAATGATATACAGGCTGGGGACATTTTAAGTCATTTAACATATACAATACCATTTTCAGGTTTAAAGTCACTTTATTAATTTAGGAACATGATAATACACTAAGGCTTTACAGAAGATCATGTTAGATATATTTAGACCAGGGTTTCTCAACCTTGGCACTACTGACATCATATCAGATCATTCTTTGTTGTACGGGAAGCTGTCTCATGCATGGCCAGATCTTTGGTAGCATCTCTGGCCTCTGCCCAGTGGATGCCAACAGTACCCCCACTCCCAAGTCATGATAACCAAAAGTTCTCCAGACATAAATGTCCTCTGAGAGGCAAAATTGGTCCCTGCTCCCCTCCCTTGTGGTCGAGAACCCATTTATTTATTTATTTATTTATTTATTTATTTATTTATTTATTTGTTTGTTTGTTTGTTTGTTTGTTTGTTTGTTTATTTATATTATTAAGGTATCATTGAAACACACTCTTACAGAAGTTTCACATGAGCAACATGTGGTAACAATGTGGTTACTACATTTATCCATATTATCAAGTCCCCCCCTACCCCACTGCAGTCACTGTCCATTAGCATTGTAAGATGCTATAGAGTCACTACTTGTCTTCTCCATGCTGTACTGCCTTCCCCGTGACCTACCTATATTGGAGAACCACAGTTACAGATTTAGACTTATGAATGCCCAGAAACAAATGGGAAACCGTCAAGAGTTTATTTTTGCAGTCGTTCAAATGGTTCAGGAAAAAACCAAAAATTTTCCAGTCATTCTAATTATTCAGAAAATAGAAAAGCCCTAGAAAAAGAGGATATTTCCTGAATAATTACAGAGTCCCCCCCACCATTCTTTTTAGAAGTTTTTTCATTTCTATCCCCACCCTTTCCAGAAATAGCTTAAGGGAGGCTTGCAGAAATATATGGGATACAACAAGAAATCATGAATTGAATGTAGGAGCAAAAGAAGAAAAAGAAAACAAGAGTGGGGAATTCAAGAGTCAGGATTGAAACAATATGACTACACATTTGTGCTTTCTGGCATCTACTCATTTACTTAATTCAGTGTCCAGAAAGTCAACGCAAACCAACTGTTCTTGGAATTATGACCAACAAGAATGCCTCCCCTCCCCAGGGACTTCACAAAGGAGACGCTGGTGTGATATAGTAAACAATGTTCTCAGCAACACTCCTGATCGATACAACAACCAGTTTCACAGGAGTAGGTCTTCTACTGTTTACCCCTCAACATGGACTCAACACAAACCATAATTCAGAGCTGAACATAAACCAGAGCCATTAGGCTGGGAACCAAATGAACTACTTGGCTCCACGAGACATTTCAGCTCACTGGACACCTAATTATTGTTTCTCTCTGCTTGGATTTTTATAATTTAATTTCTGCTGTTGAATGAGTGGATAATATAAGTGCACGGGGCTCAAAAAGCACAACAAAATACATAGTGAGAAATCACTTTCTTTCCCACCCAGGCTTCTAGCCACCCACTTCCCCTCTCCAAAGGCAGCCAGTGTTCATTTTTTGCTGTGTTTTTGATGCGTAGGGGATGACAATGAGCTTGAGATGATGTGTTGTGGCAATGCTGTCTGTCAAATACTGACCCGTAAGGCTCTCCAAACAAATGATGAGATAAATAAGGGCATGGTCGACATGCTCTTGTGAAAATGAGGAATTGTCCAAGGATTTGACTAATGACAAGCTGTCCTCACTCTTGGAAGGAAAGGGAGGTAGCCCCTAGAAGTAGAGCCAGGATTTTCCCCCAGTAAATTCCATCTGTGGCTTTTCAAATGGAGACAGACAAGTCATTGAGGGCCTAATGTCCAACTCTCTAGAGCAAGGGCACAGTAATGTTAGCCTGGAAAAACATGTATGACAGGTGCCAAGGGGCTTCCCACAAGGCAACACTCCTCTCCCAAGACCCCTGCTGTCCTGCCCCTGGAGGCACAGGAAGTACACAGGGCTGTTTGGTGGCCGTCTCAGCAGAGGAGAAGGGATTGCTGCTGTTTAGTGGGCAGAACAGTGCTCACACAAAGAATGATCCTGCCTCAAATTCCAACAGCACTCCCAGAGAGAAGCACTGGCTGGGACCCTGAAACATTCTCAGCAAAATCCCCCTAGGAGCCCTCGCTTGGAGCAACCTCACTCCCTGGCACATCCACCAGGAAGAACAATTCAGGGAATGTGTACTGAGGTCATGGAATGACACACTGAGTGTGCTGCTGTTTATAAGCCAGTTAAAAGCCGGGGAACAGCTACCCAAAATAGTGTCTTTGGTTTTAGAATAGATGAGCTGTTGCCTTTCTTTCTGGCCATGATTAGTGAGCAGACCAGTTGTCTGGTCCAGACACTCCTGGATTGAGATAACAAAACTTTAGCCCCTGGGCACAGAGAAAGGCTGGCCAATCCATTCTCTACAGCAAGGATCATTCTTCTTGCCTATACAAGAGAGGGTTGACTCATTAGGAAGCCTGCTTTAAGAGATGGAGGATGAGAGGGTTTCTTCAGGCTTTTGGTTTCTAATTAGAGCTGAGAGATGGGGATCCTAGGATTGCCACTATGATTTTTGTGCACTCTCCTGAGACTTTTTCTTTCACTCATTCACTTGTTCATTCATTACACAGACATTTCCTAAGTGATGTCTACCATAGTTGTGCTTTGAGGATGAAATTAGATTAATCTAGTAAAGTGCTTACACAAAGCCCAGCACACAGAAATGCTTGGAAATCATCTGTACTGTCAGCAGGATTGCCAAGTGCCAGTCACAGGGTTGGAGCCAAAGGCCAGTAAGTCAGAGCTCTGCCCCATGGAGCTCCCGGCCTCACAGAGGGCACCCCTGACC